TTTTTTTTTATTTTTCTTACAAATCATTTCTAAATTAATTTACAGCAATTCTTTCTTCCACACTACATTGTTTTAAGAAAAATTGTATGCTAAACAAGGTAAAAAACCACACAGGTACTCCATAACCTTTTTTTCAGGTCAAGTTCTAAATAGAAAACAAACACATGTAAAAACCTTTGGTCTGGTCCAAAGACTTATACCAATTTCGAAACTTTAGAAAAATGTCGATAATACCAAGACTTTATACGACAAGAAAATTCGACAGCATTCCATTACTCAAAAGACAAAGAACCAAATTCAGCTGGATTATCTATCATTAATTGGTATTAATCATAGCAATTCAAGCCCATATCAAGGTTAAACAATGATTTGTTTTCATTCTGGACAATATAATAAACCTGTATATGTCAGCATTAATTATGTTACGTATGCAAAGTGTGTCAAGTGTTTTGCTGCTGCCACTCTTGAATTGCATAATACAGAGCATAGTTTGGAAGGAGGTCACAATTGTCAAGCTTCAGATTGGTCATTGGAGAAGTTTTGTGTCCACTGTTAAACCATCCTTTTATGGCATCCGCTTCGTATGTAAAACCATCAGGTGCTATGTGTGGATCTTTCATTACTTCCTGCAGATTCCAGAGGAGAAAAAAAAAAAAATGAAAAGGAAAATCAGTCTCGATTAGGATTAGGGATGCAAACGAGTCGAGCAGGTGAATGTCGATTTTTTTTTTTATTTTTATTTATCAAAGTTTTGGAAGTTACTCTGATTTTGATCATGTTGTTGACTAAATAGAGCTCGTACGAGCATTTATTGCTTTAGTGAAAATGAGAATGTGTTTTCTAAGTTATAACCTACATAATACTAAAAATTAAAAAATCATACCTGAAAAATAGGACACAGAAAATGAGAAGGTATCTTATTATGCTGGCTGCTGGAACCCATGCATGACGTTGTAGAGCTTAATTGTGACGAGCAGCAAAGTTCTCTCATGGGCTCAAGCACGGCCCACACTTCCGATTCAAGATCCGGTCGATCCAAGCGGTCCACCTGGCAGCACCTCAAGCCCAAACCAGCCAACTCCACTGCAAGCTCAACCGGCCAATCACCAGCCGACACATCCAACACAGTTTCCAAATTTCCACTTTCCAGAGCCCATTTCACGTCCCTCACTACAGCCATAGCTCGTCTCGCAGTCAAAAGTCGCAAAATGATGACTCCAAACGAGTATACATCAGATTCAGTCGTTAACATTCCATCCTCAAAGTACTTGGGGTCCACATAAGCTAACTTTTCAGGATCATTTTCACTGAGAAATGTGTGTTGTTGACTGGAAAGGTTCTCGTCGTGGGATATCAAGTTATATATACCGAACCCACTAATTTTGGTAACAAAATTTTTGTCGAGAAGAATCTTAGAGGGTTTTAAGTTACCATGCAAGTGACAACTATGGCTAGCGTGCAAGAAAAGCAGGGCAGAGCATGTTTCAGCAGCGATTCTTATCCGGGTTTGCCACGAAAGAGAATTTTTGGGAAGGGTAGAAAGGTAATCTTCGAGGCTTCCATTCTCGATATATTCGTATACGAGTGACCTCGACTCTGGACAGGCACCAACAAGTGTTACGAGATTCGGATGTCTCACTCTACCCAAAAGTTCAGTCTGCACAGGACAAAAGGGTGGGCAGATTAAGATTTCATTAGTTCATTTGTTAGATTTTTGTAATATCGGTATTTGCAACAAACCTATTGCCGTATCCAATTATAATGGTTTCAAATAACAATATATAATTGCATGCTAAAGCTGAATGTATAATTGCATAGGACGGATATGAAGAAGTTCTTAAAAGAAGAAAATTAAGGTTCGAGATGTGTTAAGTCTGCGATGAAAAGTTGAACTGGTATTGAAATACTAAAATAACAAATTTGAATGTGACTGCTAAATTAAATTATGTGAGTCATTAAACAGTGAATTTGTTTGAAAACGTTTAACAATCACTGCTAACTTGATTTCTGTTTATAGAAAACGAGAGGAGGTTAGTGATAGAAAAAAGTGAAAGTGACTGAATTTCTGAAAATAAAAAAAATATATAACCAAATAAGATTCTGAAATTTTTACCTCATTCTTGAACTCCGAATCACTCTGAGAAGCAGAAGAGGGCAACATCTTTATTGCTACCTTAACATGACAGAGAACACCCTTAAACACACTCCCATATCTTCCATCTCCAATCTTCTGAGATGGACTGAAATTTTGTGTAGCCTCGATGATGTCTGAAAAGGAGATTCCAAAGAAATGTGCGTCCAATATTCTTGCAGGGTGGTCCTGTGTTTGTAATGCCTTATATTTGTTAACTTCACTAACAGCAGAGTCATACTCTGTCTGCAGCTTATCACGTGCGCCCTTAAACGTAATCAAAAGATTCACTGCTTGAACAATTTTGTCCTCTAACTCTTTTTTTTCTTCCGAGCTGTAGGACTCTCTTAGCCGGCTTTCTAGTGCAAGATTCTGGTCCTGAATAAGCTGAATTTCTTTTAGAATATGATCGTGCTGACTTTTCATGGTTTCGGTTTCTTGCCTTTGTTTAAGTAATTGTTCCTCAATTTCTCTGCTTCGAATAATCTCTTCCTTGCGAAACCTTTCTGCCGCCTTAGCCTAAAAAAGTGTGCCATACCTCTAACTGAGTAGTTCGAATGATGAGTCATATAGATCTACTAAGGAGAAATGACATATCAAGTACTAAAGTTAATCTAGTATAATAATAGAATGTCAAAAACCTGCATTTTAAAAATGGGGTCTAATCAGATCCATCAAAGATCATCATTTTGCTCCAAACAGAAGGATATTTGCAAGTCAGTTGCTGTTTTGGTTTTCGCCATAAAATTAGTGTATCTAAATCTTATTGCCATTATTGTAATTTATGATTTCTACCAAATTAATTTCAATTACCAGTGGTACAAAGGGAAAATGGGCACGTGTTCAAGGTCTTTATACGATCAAATCTGTCAATTATATGGTAACGGATTAATTTTGACCAGATACTCGTGCAATTTGAACAAAAATTACATCATACGCTTCAAAAAGAGTTGGACCTTTTTTTTTTTTCTTTTCCTTTTTTCATAATAATGAGATATAATTTATTACAATATAATCGATCTTCACAAGGTGCGGGAATAGCACCGAACAACTACTAAGTAAATGCATAAAGATAACAACCTCTGATGCATTATATTCTATTTACCTTGCGCAAAGCATCCAAGGCATCTATCACAGATTGCTCCAGCGGACTGCGTAGATCACAAATCCCTTTGTCTTGGAATTCAGATTCCTGAAGTCAAATTCGAAATTTACTCATCCACTTACAATAAAATAACACACTTCATGGCCTGCCAATGCTAGTATAACTAATGAAATGACAACAAACCTCTCAAGCATCATAAAGATCAATAATAAACAATAATAAATTTCAATTGCTATATAAAGTGCCCACGAATAAATATCCATACGTGCAAATAACAATTAAACCGTACCAGTGAGTTATTAGATGGGGAAGATGGTATATGCTCGAGACGTTCTCCATTTATAGATAAAGGTGAACTATTTCCACTACTGTGGCGCACCATTGGATCAGTTGATTCATTTATTGGGCTTCCTAATTCGTCTGTGAGAGTAGTTGGGTGATGTGAATACTTAACGTTCGCAGAATTAACATTCACGTTTTCATTGGTATTGCGCAACGACGCTCCACCGCTACTTGTTGAAGGCGAAGTTGTCGTATTAGTGGTAAAAAGACAACCAGGGCCCACAGGTCTAGACCGAGAAAAAGAAATGTCCATTGGTTAGTTAAGTATGATGTTTTCTACTCTAAAAGAAACAATATTCTGAACCTTGTACAAAATGTGAAAGTACTCCAAGAAATTCAGACAGCTCTAGTAAAAATTAGTATCATAACATAACGGCATAAATCAGTTTATCCGCAGGAGGTGGCAAAATAAATTTGATTTCAGTACTGTCAAATATTTCCCAAGAACAAAAAAAAGGTAGCTCTTTTAAAATGCAATCAGCTTGTTAATTGCCAAACCATCAAACAATTCAATTCTTAGCCCACAACATTAAAATTACACACCTTGAATATAAGAGGCAGCCTTTGGAAATAAACCAAATATGGCATGAGACTGGAGCTTGCTGGCAGATAACCATAGCTTTACTGGAGATCGTCTCTGAAAATTTCCTGCAATCTAGATTAGTCATTTAAATAAATAAAGGTATTACTTACTGTAATCATTTACCACATCGAGGTTTTATTTGTTAGATCTTCAGAAATTGTACAGATCGTTAAGAGATTTGTGTAGTTTTAAATAAGCAAATGTTGTGGTTGTTTTCACACACCAAAGCATGCCACAATGGAAACTATTTTTCGTCACCTTATTCTGATAATCCATGAACTGTAAGAAAAACAAAACAGTTTCCGTACATTAATTTGCAGGCATTGCATGTTATTTACTTTCTCAAATTGCGCTACTTCGCCATTTCATAAAGGCACACTACTTACATGCAATATATATACATATAATATTCAAAAGCAGAAGTGAAGGTGAGTAAGTGACAGCATTTATTCCCTTGGTATCGCCGTATAGAAAACTGATTCACTGAAAATTGAAAATAAAAAATAAAAATCGCATACTTGGTATTGAATGTCTCGGAGCCAGCTCCCATGACAAGCTGTGTTATTTTATGTCGATTGATGAGTTGTATAATCCCTTTCTCAATATTTTTCATCTCTATGCACACTTTCTCAGCCTGTTTCTGCAAGCAATTAAAGCAATTGACACTTTTCAAAGGCAGCCTAAAGCAGAAGTTGTATACTTCGAGATGCAAGAGAACTTCAAAAAAGCACAAGCCGAAAAGCACAAGTCGAAATGCGCCGTTAGTGCCTAGTTATTTCTATCTACAAGCAGTGTTGATTCCACGTTAATGTTAATATGGAATGCAAGAGGATAAGTAAAGAAAAAACTTACCCCCATCTGAGATAGGAACAAAAAGTACTGTTGCAAAAGTTTCTCCATCTTCGACCTTTCAAATTCTTGGCATGCTTTAACCGCATGATTTTTAAGTTTGCTCGCTGACAGTTTTCCATTCACTATAATAATGCAGTGAAATGGACACATATTAGGAAGAAAATTAAGCATTTATAGATGGCAAAGGCAAGGAGCACAGTTAGGATTTAGGAGGAGATTAGCATCAATGCAATTCGAATGGAAGAAAATCAGAAATATATATCGATGTATGAAATATGAACTCTTCACCCTGTGAAAACTGCAATATTATTTCAATAGATCGTTTCACCATTACTTCATTATCTGCACTATGATCAGAATCAATAGTTTTAAATCTTGCCATGAACAAACCCTCACCAACACACACACACACACAAACAAGAAGCAAACATACTACATGCTTACAGAACATGATTTCTTACTAAGAACTACATATAACCAACCCGTTTGCAACTTATCAGAAGGAGAAAAAACAGAAAACACCAATCAACCACAAAAAAGAGCTAAAATACCCAAACTAAATCCTGAGCTGAGCCAACTTCACAACCACCCATATGCCCAAAAAAAAAAAAAAGTTACAACGCGAAGATCGCATCAGATCAAAAAGGGTGTGAGCTTACAGAGCGAAACCAAGCTCGTCGGCTGATGAACATGCACAAGGCAGATATCTTTCTCCGGAAAACTCTCCGCCACCCACGTCAGCAGCAATTTCCCCTCCTTCACATCCCTCCCGACGGCGACATACACCGGCGAGCTGAGGTCGCCTGCAACCCCTTCACTCCCCATCAATGGCGATCGGGATTGTGCATTTGGAGACAGATATAATACAGTTTGGTGAAGGGGGATTAACAGAGAGTGGAGGTCAGTAGGAAAATTTAGCGGTGTGAGCTGAGCTCCATTGTTTTTCTATTTTCCTTTTATTTTCTTATTTTTTTATGTGAAAAGAGAAAATTGGGCACAAGGTGTTTGTTCTTTTGTGGATAATGGGATGGGATTTAACAAAGGTCGATTATTGTTCACAAAAAATATGTTGAAGAATAAAAAGTCTTATGGAAAAAAGGTTGCTTTTTTATCAATCTTTTCCCCAAGAATCGACCTTTTCCTAATTTTCATTTATGGGTTGTTTATTTTTTGTGTCTTGTTGATCAAAAGAGTACCATAGTAGCTAAAGATAATGATCGAATTTGATATTACCGAAATTTTTTACTGTTGAATTGTACACATCGACATAATTTCGTTTTGATTATTGATAAATATATTCGATAATAGCACTGCCCTTAGACTTGAAAAATGCTGACTTCTATCGATCTCGTTTTCAATAATCCATCTTTTCTAATATTTTTGTTTTTTGAGAAGTGTTATCTCATTTCTTTTACCGTTGATGTCTTGATGATCAAAACGAGTCCCTCGATGTCTTGAGAAGATAATAATGTCGGAAAATCGATTCTACCGGGGATGAAATTGCTTCTCAACGAATTCTTTACCAATAAATCACAAATTCACATAAATGTGTGTTACATCAAATGACAAAAAATATTAGGTGATAACACTTCCCTAACCAAGACATAATTTTTTCAATAATCCCATGATAAAATAGTAGTGAAATATCTATCTTGAAAGACACCCCACCATTTCTCATGGACTATTAATGATTGATGGGTTAGCTTTGTGTGGTCACATTTTAAGTCTCCAACACTTTTTTGTCAAACATATTCTCAAAACATATTTATAGGGGAAAGTAGATAATAATCCAACACAACATTTGGTTACAATATTCACACACAAATTTAATTTGTTCTTTTCAACTCACAAGTCACAATTAAGGGGACAAACACAACCGGGAAAATGAATACATCCAAAGCAACTTCATATTGCCATATTATCAAATATATCAATACTCTTTCTTGGGCATGCTAATTGAAAAGATCTCCAGCCACCTTTTTCATCATCCCTTTGATCTGCATTTAGAAATTAAAAAAATACAAAATGTAAAAAAAAAATAATAATAATAATAATAATAATACATTCTGAAAATATATAGAGTTTTTTGAATAACATTGCAGGGAAAAAGAGAGCTTTTTGCCATGCCAAATTCATAATTTTAACCATAATAAAAGGCAAAAAGTATACAAAAAAAAAACACACACACACACACACACACTTTAGCTTTTTTAAAACACACCTGTTTTGCTGAAAGGCCAATATTCTCCAAGTCATCAAGCTGCAGAGGAAAACATCACACAATCAAGAGAGAGAGAGAGAG